AGTAGGAATTCAGAGGGATTCTAGGTCTTTTTGTTGTGTGTCGACACCATGCAGGGATTTGCTGCTCAGGGCGAAAATCGCGACGACGATATGCCCGTGGATTCATGAATCCCTTGATGAAGTATCCGTATGACTTTCTCCAGCTCTTTCTCCTCACATGACCAGTTCGTCCCCGGCACTGTCGGTGCATCCGGGAACACACCCTAGCACTAAGTCTAGAAGGGGCAGGAACGTCCAGTGAAGACAAAAAACTTTGCGCACCCCGGACTCTTCCTTTTTTCTTCCTAAGGCTTAATCCCTCCTATGAAAGTACAAAAAGACGTTTCATGCAAATTTTAGTTTCTTTCCGCCTCGATACCCCCGTGTCTTGCGAGAGCACTCGACCGCTTTCCTCGATTGTGTCAACGGCGTTGCTCTCGATCATGACCCTGGTACCACAGGACTCACCCCTTCACCCCCAAAACTGCCGCTGAGTGCGTGCTGGAACATACAGGGGGGGGGGGGCAAAAAAAAAGACATTTTGCCTATGTCGGACTTCGGCCCTTTTTTCTTCGCAGAGATTGCCGTCGTTGACGGGAGTTCCTCAGCAGAGTATTCCCTAAGTACCAGTTGGCGCCGCACGCATTGCGCGCGCAACACAGATCTGCGGCGAATTTTGATGGTGCGACGAAAATTTTCAAATTTGGCTTGATACACCACGAATATCTGAATTCTCAGCTAAATTCTATCCGCTCCATCATCGACGGCTTTCAACCTCTTTTTCTTCGTCAACCATTATCCTCTTTTCCCGGTCTCCGGACTGCTTCCGGACAATAAATCTCGTGGCAAACTCCGCCTACTTCGGTGCGTGCCCCGCCCACCAATAGCATTTGGCCCCTTCCTTTCGCCGACCTCTACCCCTTTTTTCCCGGTCTCTGGGACCTCTTGGAACCAAATTACGACACTTTTGGCAAACTCCGCCCACTTAGGTGCGTGCTCCGCCCACTAATAGCAGTTGACCTCCTTTCCTTCGCCGACCTCTACTCCCTTTTTCCCGGCCTCCAGGACTTCTTGGAGCCGAGTTATGAATTTTCGTCGCAAACTCCGCCCACTTTGGTCAAGCCCCGCCCACCAATGACAGCTGGCCTCCACTCCTCCACCCACCTCTATCCACCTTTTTCCCGGCCTCCGGGACTTCTTGGAGCCGAGTTATGAATTTTCGTCGCAAACTCCGCCCACTTTGGTCATGCCCCGCCCACCGATGACAGTTGGCCTCCACTCCTCCACCACCTCTATCCACCTTTTTCCGGCTCTTAAGACTTCCCGGCCCGAATTATGAGGACTTGTAGAAAACGCTGTACACTTCAGAGCGCGCTCCGCCCATTGTGGGCGGGCCTCCGCCCACGTCATGTATGCTGGGAACACCTTAGACATTGCTCCCCTACACCAATTTGTTTTCTGCTCTGTAGGCTTTCTCCCAACCGAGTTATGAAATTTTTCATAAGCACTGCTTTTTGGAGAACGCCCTTATTCGATGTGACTCACCAATGCACACCTTTACCCACTTTTCCCAGTTTCGAGGTCGTTTTCTAAGAGAATTGAAAATCTCGGTCGTCAGTACACTTCAACGCCCACTGTGGGCGGGGCTCCGCTTAGCTGATGTGTGTTTTGTACTTCGTGAGACCTTGCCCACCCATCCCACACTTGACCCGGTCCCTCCAGGCGGATCCCGAGGAGCTAGGGAATTTCGTGACAGACATACAGAAGACGACAGACGACAGACGACAGACGAAGCGCTTTATAGTAAGTAGGATTATATCTGTATAAGTAAACGCAGGCCCTCCTTCACTGCCCTCACCGTCTTCAGAATATGACGTCATCTGTCACCGTCGTCAGGCTCAAGGAGGTCTACCGTAAGAGCTTCAGCCTGAAGCTCTTACGCAATTTCGTGAATCGATTTAATGTTGGATAGTTTTCTAGAGGCATTTAGCTACCATCGTAATCCTCCTCGAAACTAGCTTTTTACTGTTTATTCCAGTAAGGGTCGTTATGGTACACGATCCTTCGAAGACCCCATTGAGCTCGACCAGTGCACCATGTTTCCAGGGCAAATTCTTCTGATGCCGTCCACGTAGGTGGCCACCATGAAGATTTTCTTATAGAATGGAATGCGCTCTTTAATAATAAGTTGGGACCATTCGGTCTGAATTGAGCAAAGTGTGCTTGAATCCATCTGGAAGTGGAGACAAAATGTCTTTTTTTATTGCCCCCCCCCCCGTGATGTTGACATGTGACTGGACAGCAAATTTTTATGTTTCAATCCCTAGCTGTCGATTCTGGTTGATCTCCTTTCAAAAAGTTTTTGGGACTCAGGTGAGGATAACACTAGGGAGTTAGCGCGCAAATATCAGAAGAAATATCAGACCAGCCAGACAAGCATCGTTTTACAATCAGCTCTGTGCCCCCTCATTGACAGCTTTGCAGGTGGAACCCATTCAGCTATCATCAACAATTTTTCTTGCAAACGATGGACTACTATCATCGGATGGTGGCTGCATAGAAAGTGGCGTCGTTCACGGAAATATACGTTTTGGAAAGGATCAACTGCAGATGTTAAGCAAATGGTGTCCCTACTTGCGACCTGGAAAGCTACGCACCTGGTCAGTTCAAACGTCACAGTTTTGGAACACTCTAATGAGATTGGCGCTAGTATCCCTAGTAAGAGGAAAACAAATCTTAGAATAACCGTTGAGTTAGATGCCTAGTTAGAACCCTCTACTAATAGGATATTTCTCTCTCAAATAGGGTTATTTCACTCGGCAATAAAAGTCTAGGTAGGATTATCACCGCCAGCCGAAAAAAGTAGAAGAATCCAATGGAACACCAAAATTGAGAGCATACTTCAACCCTGACGTAGCGCAGCGCAGGAAGAGAGAGCAGGCCGAGGGCGAAGGTTGCGCAGCACTGGCTATTTATGCTTCCCCTAATGTTTCGATTCCTATGATCAAGAAACCAAAAAGGATAAAAGCATTTGCCGTTGATCAATCCCTTTTGGGATGCGGCACGCATTCTACTTCCATTTGTACATTCGCAGTGGCGTTTGAATGCGATGTGGCCTATACAATGACTTGCGGGGGCCAGCCGATGTACAAGTCAGTGTTTTTATCCTCCCAGACAAGTCTGGTACCAATTAACCGACCCCGGAGGGATGGAAGGCTTGGTTGGCCCGGGCGACTCACGACCCAGGATTTGATCCCCGGACCGCTCGCGTGGTAAGCGCGCCACTTGTCACTACACCACTTCCGCCATTTCCTTGATAGATTCAAAAATTGTCACTCCAGTGAGTCTCACCCTGTAGCAGTGATTCTTTGAGAGTAACATCACAATATTTCGATCAAAGAGCGTAAAGACTTGAAGATGAGCAACTAGCTCAGATTGAGAACGGCTAATCGGTGATTCAAGGCGAGAGCTATCGTTTTTTCCAGCATGTGGCCTTGGAGACAGACAATACAGTATGGTAGAATTTGTGAGCGCTTGTGCAGGAAAGGAGATCATCACATCACGAATGGAATAACCGCCATAATTGAGTCCTCCAGAGTGTCAGAGGAACAGATGAACCGATTCTGCTCAAACGCTGTCTACATGGAAGTCTGTATTGTGATCACTGAATCATCCTACAGGAGTTTGAGATGTCCTCGCCTTCAGGAACTCCGACCATGCCAACCAGGTTCGTGAAAATTTCTATGTTCCATAGGGGTTCTCTCACCATCTTGATTAACTTTCTCACTTCTCTTTATCCTTCATAGGAAGACCCGCAATCGAGATTGTATCCAACTTCAAGCTTGAAATCGTTGACATTCCCGCAACAGTCATCGTCCCACCTGGAGAAAAATTGCTACGCGTTGCAAAGAAATACCTTCATGCTTTCCGACAATCATCGCCAGTTTGAAGACGATCTGTCCCGGCTGCCAAATCGATGACCACTTCTCGAGTAAGACCGTCCATTATCAACTCTTACTTACCGTACTAACACACTTGTTGATCCCTTTCAGGCTGCAGCGATCTGGAGAATGTAGACGATATCGACGCTATTGTTAGGCAATGCTCTGGACAACCGATAATCGCTACGAGACCGGGTCTAGAGCTGCGGCAAAGTTTGACAGAACTTCAGATAAATCGACTGTTCAGTGAAGCTGTTGAAGTGCGCATGTGCCTCAAAGTGGAAAGCTCCGATGTGAAGTCACTGGTGTTCCCAAAACTCTCGCGCTGGATGTCCTGCTCCTCCCGTAATACTATTTCACTCCTTTTTATGTTAGGATCAAGCGACAGTGAACCAGTTTAATATTATGCATTTTTCAGACAAACCGGGACTTCGTGAGGAACAATGTTGAGTTTAGGTGAGACTGCAATTCCCATTATGTGGGCAAAAATGCATACAGAGTGCGGTCATCGAAGGAAATCCGCTGCTTTCGAAATCTCAAATCGACATCATTCAGAACGTCTGTCTTCACTGCATGGTGGAATACGAAGCACCAGGTTTGTCAGAGGAGAACTTCAGTGACTGTTGAAGGCATTAGGGTTGGACCTAGGAACTAAATTGGGTGTAGCCTAAAGATCGTCAAGCGCGGCAACATCTGCGCCAGCTAAATAACTCGTGTGTCGCGAAGAGCAGCTGAATTTTCCTGCTCTTTGGCTGACGCATGCCCTTCATGTTTGTCGACCAGGGGCCGCATCCAGTCCTTCCTTGAAGGGGACGCGTTCTTGGATTCAATCCTGAGGTTGGGATCAGGGTTAGGCCATAGGACTGCCATCCCTCGAGCGTTCCCACCTTCTAGATAGTGAAAGCTGGGCGAACGTTTAGTAGTGGGGCCCCGTACTCAGTCCTGTCTCCTTCGACCTTAGGTTCGGATCGGTGGCATGAGATGTGTCCTTTCGAGGGAAGGATTGGATACAGCCCCAGGGCGTGTTCACTGCAGGCTTCACGACATAAGTGTCGAACAAAATGGGGTAGTTTCTGCTAACGAAATGATCAGCTGATTGCAGTTGTATTTTATCAATTATCACTAGCTACAAGTATCATTTATATCTTCCAGCTATAAAGTGCTACATACTCATCAATTTACTTGATGGTCGTCAGCACTTGTGTTGAGAATTCTGTGGCTCAAAATGCCCTGACGGTCGGATACAAAGAACATCTACAATATGACGAGCATTTTTGAGACAGGGGTGCCGGTTTGAGGAGGAATCATGCAGGAGGAGTTGTCATTGGAGTAAAGAATATGTATTAAGTTTCTAATCGTAAACTCCCCAAACGGCCGCCCTTGTCTCAAAGAAGTTTGTCATGGGGGTACATATGAGCTCCACTGGTAGTCAAAGGGTTAAATGATTCGGCATGGTTGCTTTTTTGATGATTTTGATTTTGATTTGCAGAAAAGTAATTTTTCAGCATGTGGCATTAGAAGTGGACAAATCACCGCAAAAATGCTCGTGAATGCATGTGCAGGAAAGAAGATCATCAAACCGAACTCTGCACCGTCAGTTATCTACTCACTCCAGAAGTGACCGACGCGCAAGTTATAATGTATGCTATACGGAGTTATTTACATGGAAGCCTGTGTTGTCATCAAAGAATCTGATTACAAGAGTTTGCGCTGTCCACGTCTCCAACATATCAAATCGTGTCAGCCAGGTCAGATTTGAGGAACTCTTTCTGTTGCCTTCGACGCGGCATCGACAATACTTTGTGCTAAGAATAGCTGGAGTGATACTATGGTATTCGATGACCCTTCGAGATTCGAATCACCAGTGATAAAAAGAAAAAAAAAAAATGCTAAAATCCCCTGAAAATTACGTGCGCCGATGATATGGGCGGTGGTTTGCGCTCCCGCCCAATGGGCCTTCACGGGAATCCAACCTATCTGCTGCTGCCATCTCTTTGCGGTTTCCACCCTATTTTGTCATACCAAGGGAATGTCTAACCAGTGGGACTCGTAGTGGCGAGTGCAACCCTCCACCCATACGGTAGGTAAGCTATGTTATTCAAGATTCTCAGCAGTTCCTTCCTAGTTTCTTTAATTACTGGGTGGAAGTGACTGTCACACTACGTGTACAAACATTTTTCGGGCGCAACCCCCACCTAATCAGTGGCCGGATGTGCTTTCAAAGATTTTCGAAGGGGCTGCATTTTACGAAGCGACATTTTTATATTCAGTATTGTTGTGCGAGGATGGATATGATAATAAGCCTTTCTTCAATTCAAAGCATTGAGGGCCAGTAGCGCCAAGTAACACAAAGTTTTAACCGGCGATGCGACAGGTTGATCTAGCCTCATTCTCTCGCAGCATTACATAAGAGTTCATAAAAAGTACGCAACCACCGATGAGGTCCATTCTTTGGGTGAATAAAGAGGACCCACGATTATCAAAGATGTGCGCTTGTCACAGGCAGTGCTTTAGGGCTTTTAAAAGTGAATGTTACTGGGTGACTAATGTAAAGCATACGGACGAGGAGCATGCACACACTCATATGAATATGCAAGGTGGACCAGCAGCAATAGGCGCTTATAAACATACGCGCAAGATATGTGGGCAGACAAGTTCAGAACTCAGTCCAGCCACAGCTTCGTCTCATTATCAAAGAGGTAAGCAGAGGAGTGAGCTAAACTGGTATGTCGGCGGTTGCTTTTTTTCATTTTCGGTCATCGGCAACAATTCATTATCGATCGCTGTTATTCTATCAATACGATCTTGAGTTGTTGCTTCAACATTGTATCACTTAGTAATTTCCAGGCAGACCAGTATTCGAGATCACTGACAATTCTGATTTGGTGGATGTGAGAATATCCAACAAAATCGAATTCCAAGACGGTGAGGATGTGATCGTCGTCAGGGGAAACGCGAAACTTCCACCATCTACAACCAACAAACTGAAGAATATCTGCCCTTACTGTAACATCGTTTCCGACTATTCCAGTAAGTTTACTGGTGATACAGCCTTCCATTTTAAAATAACGTCTTCTAAACGCGATCTGTTGCAGAATGTAGCAGTATAGTATCTATCGGAAGCGTAAGCGAGCTCCTCGAGCAATGTTCTGGAGAGTCATCCATTATCGGGAAACCTGGCCTAACTCTAGACTACAATTTCACAGAAACCGAGATAAATCGACTATTTTCTGGTGCGGAGGAAATCCGATTGTGTCTTGTCGTGCGGGGAACACAAATCACCAACCTGGTATTCCCAAAACTGAAGCGATGGAAAACTTGTTCACCTGGTGAGCTTATCGTAGTCCGAGCGAACACCATCAGTTGATTAATGCAGTTGGTCAATCTTCCTATGGTTACAGGAAAGCAATCGATTACTGTTGTGGAAAACCTTCACCTCAGAGAGTTACGTTTCCCGTCCTGCAAACATCAGGGATGCATTGATGGTGCAGTTATAATAGATAATCCAGAACTTCCACGACAGGAAATCGATATTATCCAAAAATGGTGTGTCAACTGCCATGTGGAGAGCCACTCACAAGGTATTCCCTTTTGATAATGATAGACAGATCAACGATGTAGAACTTCTATTTCTATAGCGTGATCTATAGGCTATTACTTGAACAGAAGTCTCCAGTTTTGGTGACGACATTTTGGGCCTTGATCCTTTTGGGAAACACCGGAGATTGGGATTAGCTGGGTCTTCGATGACCTTCCATACTCCTCATTGGCGCGTGGGGTTGATTTTGAACGTCATCCACCAGTAGGAAGTGTGGATAGAAGGCAAAAAAAACCACGCCCACGCGCCGAATGCGAGCTTTGCTCTTGAAAGCATATTCGTTTCCTAGACCGTGAGTAGAGCAGCAGCTTGCTATACCCAGCGTGCCGACCTTCGTTTGACCGGGTCGAACGGGAGTCCAATTCGCGAAGCTTTAAGGGAGTCATACTGCGGTTGACCCATAATTTCTGGCCGAATTTTTTTCAAGTTTTACCTTTCCTAAAGAATAATTGATCAAAAACATAACCACCATCATAATCACTGATATGCACCCATTTGCTAGGGAACGAATGGATGCATTCCCAGAACGAGAGAAGCTGTGAGATGAAAAGCTCGGAAGAGGTCGTTTTTGGGGTGGTTGTATTTACTGACTTTTCTCTCCTAGCTGCTGCTTCAGGGGCTGAGGAGGTGATAGTACGATGGAGCAATGTCAGGGCTATACGATAGATGTGGTGTCGTGGTCCAGCCAGTTTCCCTCGAAACGTGGCGAGTTATCTTTGCAATGTGATTTCGGGCGGTCCTCCGGAGAAAGGAGATTTTGAGACTTTTCAACCGTTCTCCCGCACTGCTGCGGCCAACTTTGGAAGCTATTCCATGGTTACCTTCGCAATGCTTGTCTGCATAAAGTGAAATGGTTCTCAAAACGGGATACCCAGCGAATCCAACAAAACGGGGGTCACACCTCTGATGAAACAGCTCGGGTTTTGGTTGATGTGCTGCGTCCAGGCTGCGAGGTAGCCACCGGGCGAGCCGCGTGTTGTTATCGTAGGGGACTCATGACTCATCTGCACTGGTGACCAACTAGGGAATGTCTTGTCTATACGGTCGCAGAATGAAACTTCTGCAGATGGTCAGGCGTGCTTCTCGGTCATGGTCAGTCCATGCATGCTGTTTCCATCGAGACTTCATTCTGCTACAGCCCATTCCATTCAGGTGTCGACTCATGGAGCGTAGGCTGCGTCCAGATGTTTGCTACAGTTTCCTGCTAATAGCGTCCGGATGCACTTCCTATTCGTAGCGCAAGGGTCCTCATCGAAAGTGACTGGAGGTCCATGATGAGGTCGAACTTTGCAGCTCCTATCGCCTTTGCCGATGCTATTGAGCCAATAGCTCAGTGCCCGATCAGTAGCAAAGACTGGGGCAAACGCGCTGATCTTGCCTACCGCGCTCCTTGCAAGGTTCTTCTTAAAATTGTCGCAAGGCAAAATCGTTGGGTTTGGTTGTTGATCTATTTTGATTCCTACTTAATTATCCCTTTGCGCACTTAAGCTTCTGAATCATCCTGGCTGAAGGTCCTGATGTGTTCTTCAACATATTAACTTATTTCATCATGAAGCTAATTTGACATGAAGAAAATTGAATTTGAACCAAAATCGGCCAGAAATTATGGGTCAACCCAATATTGGAGTTTAGTCGGAAAGTTTGAATTGGGGCGTAGACGCTGAAGAAGTTGTGGCTGTGAGAGAGAGGATTATTTTTGACGGGTTTTTTGACTATTTTGCCGGAAACTTTGGGAAAGACGCGTAAAGTAGGCAAATTTAGAACTCGAAGTTCACTAAAAAGGGACGTGTTCAGCGTAGCGCAAAGAATTATCCCCGCACACGGCTTCACATGTGCCTGACGTAATGCAGTTCCAGAATTTGAACGTCATTTAGAATAACAACATGATGTTGGCGCAACGCCATTCCCAATAGATCGCTAATGATTCATAAATGTGACGAATGTGTGAAACCCCGTAATTTGACTGCTTATTGTGAAATCACGGATCGAATTCATGGAAATGTCGCTTGAACGTGACGCGATACCAGGGATCCAAAAATAGTACAATTATGCGATAAACGATTTTCAAACCAATTTTCATTTACAAGCATTTCGCACGAATAAGCAAAGCGTAGTTATTTCTGTTTTGAATGAGGAGGCGGATTGACTTCTTTGGTCCCCCCCCCCCCGCCACATATACCGCCTGAACTTACAATTTGTCATTGTTAAA